TTGGAATAATCTACAGTTTAGCAACCTTTTAACTGAGCCAATCTATTTCTCAGATTATTTTAGTAATAGTTGGTATTAAAAATTCCAGGTTAACATCAGAAATGTAGAATACTTTTCACTATCTTGGTACCAAACTAAAACTTGGCTGTGTAGCAGTGGACTGTAATGGGTCTCTCTTGTACTTCTGTCTCTGGGGAGGTACTTAGATATTTTCTTACTGTTGAGCTAGACAGTCCCAAGTGAAAGGAGGACTGAGCCAAATGCCATTCCATTTCTGCAAAGATGAGATAATTGATGGAAGCCCAAGCAAAAACTTCAGAAGTGTATACGGGCCAAAGGAAAGCAGAATAGGGTGGCCTGAAGGGGGAATGATGGATTAAACAAGTTCTTTTAGCCTTATGGCTAGAATTCTGGCTCTGTGGACTTGAGAGATCCTAGGGAGAAAGCTAAGATGTCTTTGTGTACTTAGAAATGAATGCAAATATAACAAACACCTTTTAATGGGAATGAAAAGGTCATCCATTGGAACAGGCTTGTTTTTGAAGCTGTTGGTAGCTGTGGTGATTTTTGGGGAAAATAAAATTCGCCCCCTTCTTTGGGAAATTGCACATGGGTAATTAAGAAGTATTGTGCTGTTTGGATCTTAAAGATGAATGATGGTATCCCTTTAGTTTCCATTCACACATCCAGAGATTGACTGATGTTCACCTGGCAGCCCAGGGGATGAGGTTACAACACAGCATTGAACCTGTGACGTCTGAGGCCTTTATGTCTACTGTTGTACGTGACACTGAACAGCATTAGCCTAAATAAGGGGATGCTTTTTACCCCAAACACATGCACTAACCCAACTGCATTATCTTGTTTGTCCTCCTTGCTGAGGACACTAATGCAACATATTCTACATGTCCAAACCTTTCAGACTGTTCCCCTGTTGAAAATCTATATAGAAACCTTTAAGCAGGTAGAGGAAGAAGACCTATTTCAGCAGTGGGTGTTTTTGCATGACGCAGGGGAAAGGGTTAATATACAAAGTGCAGATATGAGAAAAGTTGCTTCTGAATATTCTGCTGTTGAATCACCGGGCAGCAAAGGACCGGTTTGCTCTGATGAGGTAACTTGTATTCCTTGCTGCAAAGTTTGGAGGGTGGGGTCCCAAATAAGTGGGTCTCCTCTAGTATGAGAGCACCCCAACTGTTCTACTATATAGTTGGCTAATGTGTAGTTGGTGTAGAGTTAACCAGTTGGGATCTTTAATTTTTCCAATTTCTCTCTAGATCAGCATGCAAAATAATTACTAACTTTTTTTTAGATCTCTCCTTTCAAGGAGCATTAAAGAGAAGTGGATGCAAAATTGCAATGATCATTTTAGTCGGGTTGGAGTGTTGGTCCAGGAACTATGTGAGAAGCAAGTGGTTTTTGTGTTTTCTAGGTCATATCTTTTTATTGGATTGACCATATAGTTTGTATAAGATGTATAGAGATCTCTGTATATAAACAGAACAGTGCACTGTCAGTCTCTGAAGCATCTTTCTTTGTCTTGTGACATGGCTGGTTCATAGGACAGTTGGCTTTTGAGGTTTTTTTGAGTGTGGGCCTATGTTGTGATAGGAGTTGGCTTCTGCTACTCTCCTGGAGAGGAGCAAGGAATGAGGATGCCATTCTCTCCTCAGAGAAACTGGAAGAATGGGACCATGTTGGATCGGAGAGATCAACTATCTTAGAAAAAGACAGTTAAGCAGATCAAATACCACTTTAAGGAATGTCAAAGGTCCCAGTTAACTAGAGAGAAGCCCTTCACATAGTGTGTTAATTCAGTCATTGAAGATGGCCTATCTACTGTCCTCTTCCCTCTCTCTTTTGCAGCTTAGTGTTAGTTTTCTATCCTGTGTCTTTGACCTTTATGAACTTGGTATACTTTCTGACTCCTCTGTTAACCAAGGAACCCCATAGCTCAACCGTGGCTCTAGTGTGCATGTTTCAGTAATTGTTGGGTTCTTACTAACTCTGCCCCATAGTATTCAGACAGATCTTGTGCCTCTGTCTCCAAAGCCAGATGAAGGCTGGTGAATTATGCTGGCTATGCATGTGGCTTGGGGGCAAGGAGTTGGTTTTTCTATTCATGGGCACTCCCTTCTAGCATGCCAAAGACCAACCGGGGTGCTTGTCTACAGAGGCAATTATTTCAGAGGAAAATTGCTGTAGGCAGTAGCAACAGGAGCCAACCTGGAGAGTAGAGAAAAGGTCCCTCCCCCACTGCCTTCTCTTTCCTCTTCCTCACAAAGAAACACTTTTTTCCTCCCCCTTCCTTTTGAGGGGGGGGGGGGGGGAG